CTCTATTGTTGAGATTTGAGCAGTATTTTTTTTTTTCAGTGTATTTTCTGTTTGTATTATATCAATATATTGATTTTTGTGTGTATTTACTTTGTAATAAGCAAACTTCCTAGGTATAGTGGATTCTCTTTAATTTTGTAGGCCCAGAGACATACCATCTGCAAACAGTGATAAAGTTGTCTCCTACTTTTCAATATTATGCCTCTTATTTCTTTTTCTATTTCTATTTTTTTGCAATGTCAAAAATCATATTCCAGAACAATTCCTCTGTCTTCCATGAGACACTGTGCTATCTTGTTTTAGTTATATGCCTTATAAACAATATAAGGCTCAGTGCCTTATACTTTCTAACACATTTGGGCGGCTTTCCTTTAATCTGTTTACCAAGAAGAATGTTTCTTTTTATACCCCTCACTTTATGTATTGGTTTGATTTTTTTCCACTCTACTTTTTCCCTGTAGTGATTTAAAAGTTGTTGTATCTCAGTGTCATTCTCCTGTTGGTCACCTAATAGTTTCCACACGTGTATTTAAATTCAACACCCAGGGTTAATCAATGTCTGCAGCTTCCTCAGCAGAACAAGAACCTTCGTTCCTTTTGACTTACACTACTTCCATCCACCAGACTCATTTTGTTGAAAACATCTAGGAGTTCAGCTCACTGAACCCTTTTATTATACCCCAAGTGTTTTTGTTGACTCTCTTGGGCTTTCCAGGTCTATCCGCATATGAGCTATGATTAGTGATGATTTTGCTTCTTTCATTTTCATGATTTTTACTTTTTCCATGATTCTGGGTACTGTCCCTGAAAGCAGCCTGGAATTGTGGCTCTGCTTTTTCTTGTTGCTGACCTTCTTGGACGTGCTTTCCACACTTCATTATGAAGCATCTTGCTAACATGGCATATCATCTGTGGAGGACAGAGTGATTGCTTTCTGTTTCACTGTGGCATTTTATTTCAGGAGTGAACGCTAAACTTCATAAAACATGTTTTCTGCAACTATCAAGATGATAACTCTTCCGCATGCTAAGTTGGTTCTGTGAACAGACTCCTCATGTCCGTTTGCCCTGTCTGCTAGGACCCGCCCTCCCTGGCCATAGTGCGCTTTGGTTTCATTCATCTGTTGCATTCAGATTTATAATATCCTTTTTTAGGATATGTTTACGTTATTTCTTCATCCAACAGACCACCCTCTACTGGGCCCTGGACCAGACACAGGATAGTGGTGGTGCACAGCCCAGGAAAGGTACTGGCCCGGGAACAGCCATCCTGTGAGACATCATACACGCAGTCTTTGCATTGTGTTTTGTTTTCCTCCAGTGACACTGGGCTGCATTTAAGGTGTGTTGAGAAAGGCACTCCCCTTGTCAAATTATAGAGTCACAACTGTGCTTCACTTGAAAGTACAATCTATGTTCTAGAACATTTGAAATGACATAAATTATCTGCTCCTTGAACGCTAGAAAGAAGTTGCCTGTAAAACCACATAGATCTGTTCTCATTTGAAGGGGTAGTTCTTGAGCAGTATTTTATGTTATTTTGTCCATGGTTATTGGCTTATGATTTGTATTTTCTTAGAAATTATTCATTTCATCCAGAATTTAAATCCATAAAGAGGAAGTTATAAACAGTCTTCAGATCCTAGAAAGTGTATTTTCCCTGGATCTGATTTTAATCTCTTCTACTTACACCATAAAATATTTGCATTTTCCTCCTCTTTCAGTTTTCCTTGGTAGGACTTAAAAGGTGTTTATCTATTTTGTTGTTTTTTAAGAAAAAGTGATTGATTTTCTCAAGTCTATGATTTTTTTGCTTTCTAATGCATGACATCTCTTTTTTGCCTTTATTAATTCCATTTTAAGTGTCTTCAGCTGAATGTGCAGTGATAAATAATTGATAATAATTTATTTTCATTCCCTCTTGTTTGATGTTAAAAGTATTTAGACCAAGACTATTCTGTGCGCAATTTTGGCCCACATCCCATGGGCTTTGCAATATATGGTATTCTTCTCTTTCTGCATTCCAATTATAGATTTTAATTCTGTTTTTACTTTAGCATTTTTGAAAGTTAGTTTTTTTCTGTCTGATGGGGGTGTTTCACATTTTGTTATTGGGTTCTGGCTTTATTTCACTGTGGTAAGAGAATGTCCACATAGGATCTTTCTTTTGCCCTCCAATTTTCTCTCTCTTTTTCTCTGAGTTTTCTTTAACTCTGGATTCCCAGAGTCCAGTCAATTATATCTCTCAGGTAAGGGTCCTCACACTATCATTACTAGCTTAATTATCACTGGCTTGATTTTCCCCTTCATCTTCCATTTTCTCTCCCCATATAAGGCCCCTACTGAAATGTGCTTAGTAATGTCTTTAAATTTGTTTGTATCTTTGAAAAATGTGTAGCGTGATATATGGGTATTTTAATTTACATAACTGATGTTGTTCTACATACCCCTCCTGTATTTGTTTGTTGAGGAATCTCAATTTGTTAGAGAATCCACATTAGTTTTATTCTTTCAAGTCATTTCCCCCATGAGCCCTATGTCAAATTTTTCTTTCTTCTCTATTTTGGGAGGAGCCCATAATTTTCAGTTACTTTCAGTTAGTGAATGCCTTGTCCTATTATAAGCCTCAATTTAAAAATCAGTTTGATTTAAACTTCACCAAGTCCACTCCTCCTCCCTGGAATTTTGTTATGGTGGAGTCCAAATTAATTTTTCTCTGTCAGTTTCCCTACCACCTACAACAGAGACCGCCTTTTCCACAGTCATGACACTTTCTGGAGCATGTGCCAAGTTTCTTCACTTGCAGGCATCTGGCTGGCTCTCCATTACCCCAGTGGTCTATTTTTCTGTTTCTATGCTAGTGCCATAGTTTGTACAATTATAGCTTTGAAATATATCTAACTCTGCTTAGATATATCTCCAGTCCCCAGCCTCTCCAGTTTGCTCTTTTTTTTTCTCAAACTTGTCATAGAATTCATGGCCTTTATCCTTTAATATTAGTTCTAGAATCAGAGTGTCAAGGTCCTGAAAAAATCCTGGTAGCATTGTATTTGGAATTGTTTGAATGTTAGAGGTCGACGCAAGAACTGACATTGTCACAATATTTTGACTGTTTTACTCTCTAATGAATAGAGATAAAAGATGTTTATAAAATGTGTTTGGAGAACAAAGAATAACATAGTCAATACCCATACCTTCACCACCAAGCCTACAAAATAGTGCATCACTAGAAACTTTGAGGTTCTCATGTGATGATTTCTGAATATCAGACTGTGAAGGCTCTGATGCTGCTTTTGGTTTTTTCTGCTAGCTGGCATTTGTTCTTGGTGCCTCAACTTCCCTGTGTGCGGGGTGATGTTTTAAGAGTGATGACATGCTTTTTAGAGTGTTCTTCATGGGAGTTTGCTGAAGCATGGCTTGAAAAGTGAGGTCCTTCAGGCAGAATCTACATTTGCTTCTGCCAGGTACCAGGGCATAAAGAAGGTACCAGGACAAAACCAAGAACTGCTTTGAATGATGTTCTTGGCTCAATTTTTTAAAATCACCCAGACAGTGTGAATTTGAATTACAAGTTCACATGAGGGCAGGTGTTTCCAGTTTATCCTCACGCAGAAGGTGTGGTCCTTTTTGGCAGGAATAACTTTTTGCAGGAGGTTTCCTCTTGGGCTCCCTGTCTTGAGTAGGCCCTGGGTTTTACATTTTGTCTTTTGCCCCCGTGAATGAGGCTGTGAAAACCAAAGCTCAGTTTCACTGGGTTTGGCCCATGGCCTTGGGGCAAAAAGTCATCTTCTGGGCTTTGCTGTCAGCTCTCTGGGTTTCAGCCCTCCCTTGTGTTTTGCAATCTGAGGAGTCTATTTTCTTGCCAGCTCAGCCATGCATTTAAAATGATAATTAAAAAAAACTCAAATGTTATCTTCAGCAAGGTGGGATAGGGGATCTAGCCTTCCATGCTGCAGGAAGCCAGATGCTCAGAATTGACAGTTTTACATTGTTTTAAATTGCCTCACGTAAGAACAACAGCATATCTATACATTAATGTAGGTCTTCCTTTATATTATTAAGTATGATTTTGTTATTTTTCCTTACATATCTTATACACTCTTCATTAGATTATATCTTATAAATCTTGGTTTGCTGCTGCTGCTGCTGCTAAGTTGCTTCAGTAGTGTCCGACTCTGTGCAACCCCATAAACGGTAGCCCACCAGGCTCCTCTGTGCCTGGGATTCTCCAGGCAAGAATATTGGAGTGGGTTGCCATTTCCTTCTCCAATGCATGAAAGTGAAAAGTGAAAGCGAGGTCGCTCAGTCGTGTCCGACTCTTAGTGACCCCTTGGACTGTAGCCTACCAGACTCCTCCGTCCATGGGATTCTCCAGGCAAGAGTACTGGAGTGGGTTGCCATTTCTTTCTCCAAATCTTGGTTTACATTACATTAAAATATATATGTATACATATAGGGAGGGAGGGAGAGCATGGGCTATTTTTCTGATTTATAAAACTTTTCAACAATACTGAAGAGTGTAAGATAGTTTAAAAAAATCATAAACCCATCATCAGAAATAAAAGCTGTTACCTTTTGATGTTTGCTGTTGTAAACATTATTCTTACATTTGCCTCAGCTTTGGATGAAAAGAGAGGGGGCAGACTTGCATTTCAAGTAGTTGATTATGCCAGCAGGATGGTAGGAAAGGAGAAAGTCAAGGGAAACACCTTGGAGGCCCACCACAATTTAGAGAGCGGGCAGAGGAGGGGACCGGGGAGTTGTGGTCGGAGGGTTAGCAGGGGAGTGAAGAGAGGCCAGTGTGATCCTGAGCGCAGGCCCCAGAGCAGGGCTCCCGTGTCACAGTCAGGCTCCGAGCTATGCCTCAGTATCAGGGACAGCACGGGCCTGATGCAGCTCGTGTTCGGGACATGGCCTGGGAAGGCGCAAGTTTATCTGTTCAGGACCTGCAAGGAGGCCCTCCTGCTGCCTCTCTTATGCTGCCCTTGCTCCCCTCCACAGAGTAACTCTGGCAATTCTCTGGTCTGCCAAATGAACAACACCTGGATTCAGATGGGGGTGGTGAGCTGGAGCTTTAGCTGCAACCAGCGCCACTTCCCGGGTGTCTACACCAGCACCTCCTACTTCACTGACTGGATGAAGAAGCAGATCGGTGATGTGAGGTTCGTCAGCAGGGCCGGGCCTGCCTGCCTCAGCCCAGTCTTCCTCACTAGCTCCATCCTGCTGATCTCCTTGGGCTGCCTGTGGCTCCTGTGAGTGATGTGTCCTGGGCCGTCCCTCCCAGAAGCAGCTGCTTCCTCCCCGCTGTCTGTCCTGAGGAGAAGTGGAGACTGGAGGAGCACATGGCATCAGGGCAAGTCCATGGCGGAGGGTTCCAGAGCCACTGTTTTTTCAATTGTTCAATGAAGATGTTCTTGAACTTTGTGTCACTGAAGTCATCATCTTTTTTCTTGACTTTGGCCAGAGCCTCCGCACCCCCAAGAGGCCTGGCTGTCTTCTCAAAGGGAGCCTCCCTGATAGCCTTCCTTGTACTTGTACTCATCCTGTTCCCCTCTCTGGGCTACAGTGTCCTCTTCTACCAATATGAAGCTGGACTCTGAGATTCCCCACTCCCTGCTTAGTAATCCCGGCACTCCAGCAATCCCCGGGTGCCCATGCTGTCCCCTGGGTCTCTCACCAACAGTTTCCCCTCAGTTCCTTACTATGAGGGTTGTCTTCTTCCCGGGAAACTCAAAATGACCAGACCTGCACTCATGGACTCAGTTCCAGAAGCTGTGGGCCTCTCCCAAGCCCTCATATCACCCTAAGAGTCTACAGAGCTTGACCAGTTTCTCCTCCCTCCCGGGCAGAAATGAGTGATGATGGGGGGCAGGGAGGGGCAAGGCAGAGCGCCTGCTTAGGTGACTGTGGGGGGTGACTGCACCCTAAGCTCCTGAGCTGCCTTAGTGACATCTGTTTTACTCTGAAGAGGAAGAACAGGCCCAAGCTAGCCAGACTGAGAGTGCGGAGCCCTACCACCTCTGTGGGAGGTAGCATGGGAGCCCATCAGGCCTGGTGGGCCTCAGGTTCACAGTGGCCAGCTATCCTTGCCCTCGGGCTCCGGGGCATAGTAGGTGTGGTTTGCTGGAGACTGGAGTACTGAATGGCCAGCCCTATTGTCTGTCCCAAGAGAGCAGGCCCTGGCAAAAGTTAAATTGTTCTAAGCTGATTTAACTTTCACCTTTTATTGGGCTAGAATTTCCCAACAGCTTTGAACCAGAACTTCTCATAGGATTTCCCCAGACTACCTTTAACTGTATTATCCATCTGTCCCTGAGTCATCAGAATGTTCCGCGACTTCCAGCGCACCAAGAAGAGCCCCTGGTTACCATCACTCTTTCACTGTCTGTGGAAACCTCACCTGTGCCATCTTTCTAAGCGGATGGATCTGTAAGGGAAGGGCATTTGCTGAATGGAGGTCGAGGGTGGGGGCTGGGGAACAATGCTTAAAACTATGCACTCTTGAAAAATCGTTATTGAAAACATTTCAATCTGCTTAATTTCAGTACCCTGGGGCAAGGCCCCATTGTAGTTACCAGACTGGAGGGCAGATGCGACTGCTTGGAAATCCCGGATGCCAGCCCCAGGGGTGGGGCCTTCATCTCACCGGGTAGGGATAGAGTGGGCTGCCAGAGAAGGAGGTGCAGAAACCGGCCGAGGTGAGGTTAAGGGACTCTAGGAAACTGCTTGGCCAGACCGCCTGGGAGCGACGTGCTCCCAGGAGGGCAGAGGCGTGGCCAGAAGCCAGGCAGTCCTGAGCCACCTGCCGCAAGCCAGAGGGCGACAGGGACACCAGAAGCACCATGGCAGGGGGCCACTGGGGGGCGCCCGCGACACCGCGGATGCCGGCGCCCACCACACCACAGAAAGCCGTCACTGGCCGCCAATGGGGGGCGCCTTCGTGGGGCGGGTCCCGGGAGCGCTGTAGCGAGAAGAGCGCCGCGGCGCAGTCGCTGTTCCCCGCAGATGCAGATGGAGTTTCGGTGTGAGCCGCAGGCCGGCAGGCGCGGCCCCTCACTCCCTGGGACGTCTACCCTGGCCCTGGCCCTTGCCTCCGCCGGCCTCCTCCTGCTGCTGCTGCTGCCCCTGGGTGAGGCCCGCCCCCACCCCCCCCCCCCCCCCCTCAGATCTGGCCGCCACTTCTGATTCTGTGTCTCCTTCCACAGGTTGCTTGGGCGCTGGCGACGCGCTGGGGGCACTGTCCACGGATGTCCCCGACGGCCTGGATGCCCTATGTGCCCCCAGCGCCACCTGTCCCTCGGGCAGACGTCGCTTACCCCGGCAGGTCACTGGCAGTAGCCAGCCGCTCAGTACTGCGCAGTACGCTGCTTCTAAAACCCCCGACAGCGAGTTCGTTCCCCGTGAGTACTGTGGCCTCCGTGTGGGAGGAGGTGCCCAAGCAGCCTTGAGGACCTTAAGGGACAGAGAAGAAGGGCAGGGAGAGTGAGAGGAGCCCTTCCTTTCACTAGTGCTTACTGAGCACCGATCAGTGGGACCTCCCGTGCTGTTGAGGTAGGAGACAAGGAAGGTCCGGGGACCCTAGGGTGTGCTCTACATCCTGCCTTCCTGAATGGCCAGTGGGGACGGCGTCTCTCCTTCGGGCCCAGGCCCTGATCCAAGATCCCAGCCAAGGCCTCTGGGGGTCTCCAGCACAACTTTCAGGGAGCCTTCCCTTGTGTGTTTGGGGGCACACCCGTAAGTGTTCTCTAGCAGTGCCTTCCAAGCCGGTTGACGGAAGACCCACATAAGGAATACTACTCATCCTGGAACTCATTGCTCAGAATTTCACTGTCGCAGGCAGTCTCACGCCGAGGACCCCGCAGCACTCTGCGATGCCTGCTGCCGTCCTTCTCTTGTGTTAGCCTTTACAGCTGCTGGTGATGGCCTACTCACATTGATCTCACAATCTACTAGTCCATTTGGAACACCTAGGAGTGGGTCTGCTGTGGTGTTAGATACGTGCCTCTTCAGTTGAAATAATTTTTCCGTAAAATCTTTTCCAAAGTGACTGCACCCGTTGACCTTCCCTTGAGCAGTGAGTGAGCAGTCTGGGGCTGTGATCTTCACTAACTCCTAGCATCAGGGACATCTAGTTTTGCCTGGCAGGTGGTGGTGAGCAGAACTTCACTGTGATTTAAATCCACGCTCCCCTGAGGACTAATGGGGCTGAAGAGCTCTGTTCATTTGCTATTGGGATTTTATCCTCAGATGTGTGTGCGTTCATGCACAGTGCTCATTTTTCTCTTAGGTCATCTGCCTTTCTCTCACTGAATCATAGGAGTAGGGTCCTAGAGAAGGAAGGAAGGGTTTTCTTGGCTGGAGTAGGGGAATCAGATGGAAACACAGATGAATTTGTGAAGGGCCTAGCCTAGCCAGAGCCGAGGCCTGCTTGACCAGGACAAAGGAGCCAGTGATGTCCAGACTGGTCAGCCCTGGGGCCTGACCTGTGGGACGAGAGAGGGATGCCTTGGGGGTCCTGAGGCTCTTCTAAGGCTGGAGACCCCAATCCTCAAGTGAACAACACCATTATTTGATGACTGATGAAGAAGGAGAATCATTGGATAGGTGCAGGCCAGCTAGAGTGGTGGGAGATCAGGCTGAGGAGAGGGAAAAGGGAGAGGTGCTGTGAGATGTAGCGGGAAGGATCCACTCTTATCAACTCCTTTCACTTTCCTCCTCAGCCTGTGGATTCTCCTATGAGCGTGACCCCACCCTCAGGGATCCGGAGTCCATGGCTCGGCGGTGGCCATGGATGGTCAGTGTGCGGGCCAATGGCACACACATTTGTGCAGGAACCCTCATTGCCTCCGAGTGGGTGCTGACTGCGGCCCACTGCTTGACCCAGTGAGTCGGGGCCTAGACAGACGGGTGGAAAGTCATGTGGAGCCACCGGGGCCTCAGTCATTCTGCCAGCTGGCCCATCAGTGGCAGAATCCCATAATCCCAGCCTCACTCCAGCTCCTAGCAGGGTAGAGCTGAGTCTTGTAGATTCCTTCCTAGGAACTGGAGGCTTGCTCCCCTCATCTGATCCCCTAGTCCTGTGCAGTCATTCCATAGATAGGAAATGAAGACTTGCAAACCACTGTCTACGCCTCCTTCCTCCTGTGCACAGAAAGAAGATTCTAATTCTTCTGTTCCATACTCTCTGTTTCACTTATTCCTTCCTTCATTTAACCAGTAGCCTTGACAGTCTTTGAAGCCAGGCCCTCTGGTAGCTCAGACGGTAAAGCGTCTGCCTACAATACGGGAGACCCAGATTCTATCCCTGGGTTGGGAAGATCCCCTGGAGAAGGAAATGACAACCCACTCCAGTATTCTTACCTGGAAAATCCCATGGACTGAGGATCCTGGTAGGCTACAGTCCATGGGGTTGCAAAGAGTTGGACACGACTGAGCAGCTTCACTTTCACTTTCCTGGCCTGGGCAGTGGTAGCAGAAGAGGGCTGCAGCACTACTCTCAGGTTGCTGGGGAAGACAGACAAGAGCATAGCTGCTCACAGTCTGGTCAGTGTGGAGACAAGAGAGCAGGCGTGCCCGTGTTCTGGAGCCAGGGGGCGACCCGAGGGTCCCATCTGGCCGTGAGGGCTGGCCAGAGGAGAAGTGATTTCCACGCCTAAGGGACACACTGAGGAAGAAAGCTAGACGGAGGGTTGGATGGTTGCACAAGATCTCTGTCACTTCTGGGATCCAGCATGGGTCACTGGACAGAGTCTAGAGTTGAGCTCTACCACTTGCTAGCTGTGTAGCCTTGAGTCGGTTGCTTGAGTCTCAGTTTCCCTCTGCATAAACTGAAGGTTGTTGTCAGGACTGACCCCACAGTGTGTGTGTGCTCAGGGCCCCATTCACATCCGCCCTGAGCAGTGGGCTTGGGGACTCGAAGCAGGTGGGTGGCTTGCCTGGATTTGCTCAGAGTATAACAGTGCGGCGGAGTTTCGGGGGGTGCAGGCTGGTGTGGGGCTCCTGGGACTAATGGAGGACTCCCCCTGTCCTTCCTCTAGGAGCGACGTTACCTTTTCAGTGCGGGTGGGGAGTCCATGGATTGACCGGGTAACGAAGACCACCGTCGACACGCTGGCGAAAGAGGTCGTCGTGCACAGCCGTTACCGAGCCCGTCGGTACTGGTCCTGGGTTGGCCGGGCCAATGACATCGCGCTCCTCAACCTTGAGCGGCCCCTGCAGTACAACAAGTACGTCTGGCCCATCTGCCTGCCTGGCCTGGACTACTCACTGAAGGACTACTCCCTCTGCACCGTGGCGGGCTGGGGAGCACCCAGGGCTGATGGTGAGTCGGCGCCTGCCCACTCTCAGCAGGGCGGAATGTGTGGGAGAGAACCTGGGTGCAGGCCAGGGTCTGCCATGGACAGGAATTTCTGAGACACC